TCATCTCATTTTTATCAATATCTTTATAGATTTCATTAATAAAAATATTACGTAGAATTTGCGAATACATAAATGTTGCTTCTTGAATATTGTTATTGCTCATTTGATTACAGAGTATTTAATATGAAGTTAATGGTTTGCAATTCGTCTCAGCTAATTATAGACTACATAAATATTTCATTGCTGATAGTAGATTTACGCAGTATTCAATCATAAGTTCAGATTAAAAATCTATGAAAGTAGATCTTCAGTTGTACATATTTTATTGCATGATATTCGATTATAGTTCGACTTTCCAAACTAAGGGTGTGAGTATGAGTGAGTTCTTGAAAAGAATACTCAGCTAGCTACTCATGTCACCTGCTCATCCAAATGTTTTCAAAGAGTCAATTCGAATCATTTGAATGAATCTCGAAAAGCGTCCACTTGAAGGAAATATTCAGCCTAAAGGTTTTGTTTCATTCATACCTTTTATATATTGTTCTTCTTCTAAATAGATTTCACTGAGACCTGTGTAACATTTTTGTATAGTCGATGGAACACTTTTGTCTGGATGTTGTTTAAACAATTCAATTGTCTTCTGATACAATAGTATAGCTTTTTCATATTTCTTTTGATGAAAATATATTTCACCGAAAATTGATGATGTTGCACTCATTGTATCAATATCTTGATTGAATCCCGGCAAAGACAATTGCTATTCTTAAGAAAAACTCTGCTTTGTTATAATCATAGATAAATAACATGAGCGAACTTAATTTTGTATAGAGATTTTTCACTTGAAATACAGCTTGATTTAACCATTCATATAATAATTTTAATTGTTGATCTTCATCTGAAGTTTGAATCAATTTTATATTCCAATTATTGTCTGAAGTAAGAGTTAAAGATTGAATTCGAAAAACACTACCCATTGATAGAAGAATTTCTTCTTCTAAATCGAATTGACTTTGTTCAGAAATATCAGCAAATGGAGTTGATGTTAATATTGTATAATTTAATTCGATTTCAAATAGAATCGATTGCATATCATCGAATCCACGTTGAATATAGATTTCTGCTAATTCTCGTTTTTTATTTGTTGATAAAAATTCACTGAAAGATATCAAATGACCTTGTTTTAAATTTTTAAATTCATCATTTTGGTAAGCCAAGTCCTCTGTAAACAATTAATGTGTCTTCCGATGAATTTGAACATTGGTTAGAATGATATTTCTTCAATTCTAAATGAAGATCTTTAATAAAATAACTCAAATGATAAAGTGTCAAAATGTTTTGTGTTCGTAAAGCTTTATTAATTGTACGATAAAGAAATCCATCGATAGTATACCAATAAATAGCACGTTCAATTGTATATTCACGTTCAAACTTATCAATTTTTTCCAATTCTGTTTCATTCTCGTTGTATTGTTGTCGAAAAAATTCAATCATCTCATTTTTATCAATATCTTTATAGATTTCATTAATAAAAATATTACGTAGAATTTGCGAATACATAAATGTTGCTTCTTGAATATTGTTATTGCTCATTTGATTACTTATATCATAAGATTCTAGAGTACTACATGTTGGAAAACTGTTTATTGTTAAAAGATTTGATGCAATATATTTCTTATCATATGTTATTTGTCTAAATAATTTATCGATTGTTTCGAAATGTCCTCGAACTTTTCGAAAATTTAATGTATCTTTATTTGCTTGTTCATATTGATTGAAATTGAAAATGTAGATCGAATAAATTTGTTGTATATGATAGATAGATGGTATCATTTGAAAATGTTCAACTGATATAATGAGAAGAATTTTTTCATTTTTAATATTTGTAATATAATCCATACAAGAATTAGCATCATTGAAGTGTTGTACACAACTTATTAGACGTTGAAATTGTTTAAGATGATCAACTAAATGATTCGATGAAGAATCAAGACAGACAAGAACAAATTGTTCAAGATTATTTTGCATCTTTTGTAAAAAGAAATAGACATATAAAAATGGTCTATACGTAGTTATTGTTCTTTGTTTCTTTCTTCTTACAATTGCTCCAAAGAAAACAAATTTTCATCGTTTGACATATGGTAGAAGAAAAAGAGAAGTCTGAGTAACTTTTTCGTTCTTTCGTTTGAGAAAATGAAGTAAGTTGGAAAAAAAGTGAATTGTAAATGAGTGAAGTCAACATCCTCTCAAAATCATGTTTTTCTTTATTTTTTGTCAGTAGATTTAGAACCAAAGTTTTTTCTCTTCTATCTAAAATCGTATATCCAAATAGTTCTCATTTCAATATAAAGCAGTTTCTAATGAAAAAAATAAGTAAAAAGTCTAGTTTTTTTTTTTTGTGAGTGGTTCTCTGAAGGTGTTTATGCGAGGCGTAATTAGATGGTGAGAAAGGGAAAT